TTTGCACAATTACAGTTCCCAGGGTTCTTTGCTGGGGGTGGGATATGTCAGCTAAAACTAACTTGAGACTGCTTTCAAAGTAACTTTAGATGTATCTGGCATGGAGAGAGCCCCGATTAAACCAACAGCTAAAGCTTCTGAATTTTCGTAGAGAGATAAGATCAGAATTGTTGCATGAGCGTTGCTTTCTCTTCACCGTAGAATGCTGCTGAAGAAGAATATATAGCAGGCATCTTCCTAAGCTTTACATCTGGATTGTGATCCAGAGAACGTTTCAGAGGGTAGCCGTGTCGGTCTAAAGCAGAACGTCTAGTAGCGAGTCCAGTCAAATAGCACCTTAGAAGACCAACAAGAGTTTTGAGGTATGAGTTTCCAAGAGTCAAGAGGATTTGTCAAAGGGAGCTTTGGCTCTCGAAAGTTTGTACCCTGAAAATCTTTACATAGAATATTGTTGTCTCCAAGATACTACTGGACTTGGATCTAGCGGGTCCAGAGAAAACTAGAAATATTTTGTCGAACAAAAGAACCTCCTCAGGAAAGCTCCTCCATTAGCATGTTCACAGCCTGGGGAATTCCTAGAAGATAAGGACTCAGCCCTACCCCACCTTCTGAAGAAAAAGAAGAAGACTATCCATATGCAAAAGAACCTCCTCAGGAAAGCTCCTCCGTTAGCATGTTCACAGCCTGGGGAACTCCTAGAAGATAATGACTCAGCCCTACCCCACCTTCTGAAGAAAAAGAAGAAGACTATCCATATGCAAAAGAACCTCCTCAGGAAAGCTCCTCCATTAGCATGTCCACAGCCTGGGGAACTCCTACAAGATAATGACTCAGCCCTACCCTACCTTCCTGAGTAGATAGAAAGTACCTGCGTACCATTTTTCTTCTCACCTTGACACAGAGAGTACTCCACCTTTCTGTGTTATACCTCTGAGGATGCCAGTCACAGCTACTGGCGAAGTGTCAGGTACTACAGTGCCAAGACCACGGCCATACAACCCGGAAAATCTACAACAGCTAAAGTTAGACATGCTTAAGCCTCATTGAGTTCAGTTTGTTTCTCTCTTGGGTCCATGGCACATCTTCAAAAAGTTGGAGATGTTTTCTTCCAGCGAAGTGTGTTAATAGGGGAGAACCTTCCGGCTCCCTCTCGCAATTAATAAACATTTCTTCCTTTTGGAGCTGAGAATAGCAGGGCTGCATTTAAAGTCAATAGCTGCCCATGCAGCCCTATTAAACAAGCGTCTGTCTATCAGAGATAATGTGCTCCATAATCGGTCTGGCATGAAGGAGCACATTTGACTGACGGCTGATGAGCTCCGGCTGTCTTAGCAGTGTTGCTGAAATGCACAGAGGTTGCCATGTGTCTTTTTTGGAACAGGCTCTGTGGCTAATGTGCTGTTAAGATATGTTCTGCGGCCATTGCAAAATCGATCCTTTTAATTTTTATTAAATAGCCCTTTGGAAGCTATGGGAAGGATAAGTGGTCTAAGGGAGGGGTAACTTATAAAAAAGGACAACCCGAAACCGACATGGCTAATGGTTGCCAAATCAATCCCTAGCAATGCAATCCTAAGCAGAATTATGCCTTCCTAACTAATTTAGTAAAGCGTATTGGTAGTGCAGCAGTTCGAGACCCGAGTGCCACATGAGCGAGTGAGCTCCCGTCTCTGGTCCCAGCTCCTGCCAATCTAGCAGTTCAAAAGCAAGAAATTGCAAGTAGATGCGGTGACTCAAGTGGTTAAGACGCTGAACTGCAGGCTGTGGAAGGTCAGTAGTTCAGCAGTTCGAGACCCAAGTGTGCCGCATGACGGAGTGAGCTCCCGTCTCTAGTTCCAGCTCCTGCCAACCTAGCAGTTCGAAAGCAAGAAATTGCAAGTAGATAAATAGGGACCACTTCGGTGGGAAGGTCACAGCATTCCGTGCGCCTTGGTGTTTAGTCATGCCGGCCACATGACCACGGAAACGTCTTCGGACAGCGCTGGCTCTTTGGCTTTGAAACGGAGATGAGCACCACAACCCTAGAGTCGGACTCAACTGGCTTTCGAGCAAGGGAGCCTTTACCTTTACTAAATAGGTACCGCTTCGGTGGGAAGGTAACAGCGTTCTGTGAGCCTCGGCGTTTAGTCATGCCGGCCACATGACCACGGAAACGTCTTCGGACAGCGCTGGCTCTTCGGCTTGGAAACGGAGATGAGCACCGCAACCCTAGAGTCGGATTCGACTGGCTTTCGAGGAAGGGAAACCTTTACCTTTACCTTTTAGCTGTGTTTTGCCGTGACCTAGACAGGCCAGGATAGCTCAATCTTGTCAGATCTCCGAAGCTCAGCAGGGTCAGCCCTGGTTAGTACTTGGATGGGAGACTCCAGGCCCACTATGCAGAGGCAGGCGACACACCTCTGATTGTCTCTTGCCCGGAAAACCCTGTGGGGGTCACACTCTTCTGTGCAATGGGAAACCAGGATCCCCTGTTAATTGGGAAACAGATCTCTGCAAGTGTCTAGTGGTGGCGTCCTTATCAGGCTGATTAGAGTGATCACCGGGATTTGAGGGTTGCTGCTTGCTGTGGGGGTCAGTTGAGGACCCTAGGAATTTGGTTCTCTAAATGTGGTTCTAATACTGGTCCGGTCAGTGGTAAATTGTTTGCTCGCTTGGCAGGGGGACCTACTACTTTTGTCCCTGGCCAGCGTTTTTCCAAGGGCGATTCTGCATTGGCTTTTCCCCCTGAGAGCCAATTTGGTGTAGTGGTTAAGTGCGCGGACTCTAATCTGGGAGAACCGGGTTTGATTCCCCACTCCTCCACTTGCAGCTGCTGGATGACCTTGGCCAAGCCATAGTTCTGTCAGAGCTGTCCTTGAAAGGGCAGTTCTCAAGAGAGCTCTCTCAGCCCCACCTACCTCACAGGGTGTCTGTTGTGGGGAGGGGAAGGGAAAGGAGTTTGTAAGCTGCTCTGAGACTCCAAGTGAAGGGTGGGGTATAAAACCAATCTCCTCCTCCTCCTCCTCCTCCT